GTTGCCTTAAATCAAAATACATCTCTGTAGCACTTGAATTAATAGATCGCTACTAACTTTAAACCTCACCTTTCTCGAGCCATCAACACTAGGAACGTCGATTCAATTCTGAACCACAGCACACCGCGATCTCTAACAGCCACTTCCCCGGCACCATTTCACCATACCCTGCCCCGAAGGCGAATTGAAGAAAACCATAACACCGACGAACTTAACACATTCAACAAGGATAACGTCACCACATTACTGATGAAAATTTTGTCATGCTCGAAAATACCACGTCTCGTTACTCCATCAACCCAACCCTGAACATTCATAGTCCGATTGTCTTTCCTCTGCCGGAAATAAAACGTTGAACCTATGAATCATGCACTGAGAAAAACCTCCTTTCAAGTCATTCACTGCCCCGACACATAGACAAGCATTTTACCATTACATCAATACTATGCGATAACAACTCATGAATCATCATAACAACCAGTGCCCAACTTCAAAACCATAGGAATTACTGATACTGAGCTAAAACGACAAGACAACCTTCCGCAAGGCGACGACCATAGCCCAAGCAATTACGCAGGGAGAAACATCTTGCATCACATATGTAGTACCATTAAAATTACTCGATTCCCAATTGATAACAAGCGCTTCACGTCGCATAAGATTGAGTAGGAAAAAAATAAAGGGACAAGTCTCAAAGGAATCAAATCGCATTATGAGGAATCAAGAAGGGAAGTGCTCCTATCAGCCATGTAGCCTCTCGAAAATAAGTACAGACGTCTCTGTACCGATCCGCAAGACTCTACTAGACTCGTTCATGACCCGGGAGACCTAAGTGAACCTAGTGCTCTGATACCAAGTTGTCACGACCCAAATTTCATTAAAGGTCGTGATGGCGCCTAACACCGCTGTCAGGCCAGCCAACAATAATTGATTAATTTACTTACTCATTTCAGTATTTTTGAAATCATAATTTCCTTCAATTAAATAGTAAGAGATAGACTTTACAAAGTAAATGATAGTATTTTCACAAGTCTGCTAGACATATATGCACCTGCACAAATATGTGCAGCAAATGTGGTATAAGTACGTAAATCAACGCGTACCCAGTAAGTATCTTGTCTAACCTCGAAGAAGTAGTGACGAGGGGTCGACTTCGACACTTACTATAGGCTAACAATAAATACCGATATTATACTTAAGTATGGATTGTATGAAAAAGCTGTAAACTCAATAACAAGAAGTGAGTGGACAATTCTTTTATTAATAGAAAAGTTTTCCAAATTTATTCTCGACATTAAACAATTTATATCTCAAGCCAAAGAAGCAATATCAATTATAATGCGCAAATTATGTCGAGGTCGTACGGCCCGATCCAACATAATATTTAAACTGTGCACTGCCGAGGGTCGAACGGTACGAACCGTAGATGCATCTATCTGCTACCGAGGCATTCGGCCCGCTCCACAAATAGAAAATATTTTAAGGAAAACACAAATTCTCAATAACAGTCAAGTGTTGCATTCACAACTTCAAGTGAAATTTAATTCTTTTATCAGGTTTCAAAAGACTTAAGCAATTAAGTTAACAAGTAGGATACAAACATTGTAAGTATAGCATGATATGGGTCCTAGACTACCCGGACAATAGCATAATTAGTAGCTACGTACGGACTCTCGTCACCTCGTGCGTACGTAGCCCCCACAAATAGAAGCACATTTTAATTCAATTCACCTATGAGGTTAATTCTCTCTTATAATGTTAGAAAAGAGACTTATNGAGGCACATATATTTTGTGTGGCTATAAATCGTTGCATAAAGGTAAATTGTTTCCAAATAAGGAGAGAGGTCATTCTTTTTGTCATGGACTAAAAAGGAAATAGGTTCACATAAATTAAAACGGATGGAGTATATGATTCTTTTTACTAAATTCCATAACCAATTTCGTGGCCAAATCCCATTTTTATTTAAAACCTAGGTTTTCATCTAAACCCCTTGATTTTACATAATTTTTACATGTTAATCTACCAATAATCTATTTATTTAACTCATGTTGTATAGAAATTACTTACCTCAAAGTGCTAGGTGAAAACCCCCCTTCCAAGTCTTAAATGACATTACAGACCTACTCCAACTTCCGAATCCAGAATCCGAACCCGATATCAAAAAGTCCACCCTTGGTCAACCTCTCCAAAAACTTCAAATTTTTATTTTTCGCCAAATGACCCCGAAACGACTTACGAACCTCCAAATTCACTTCCGGATGCGCCCCTAAGTCCAGAATTACCATACAGAGCTATTTCCAGGCTCGAAAATCCCAAACGAACATCGATAACATTGAAATGCACTTCAACCCAAATTTATGAAATCCTTCCAAAATGCCAACTTTCCACAATAGGCGTTGAAACCCTCCCGAGTCATCCAAAACCTGATCCGGACATACGCCCAAGTCCAAAATTATCATACGAACCTGTTGGAACCTTCAAATCCCGATTCCAAGGTCCTTTACTCGAAATCACACCTTAGTAAATTATTCCAACTAAAAGCTCCCGAAATGAGAATTTTCTTTCTCAATCAACTCTGAACTTCCCGAAACACTACTAGAAATCCGGTAAAAACCGACCAAAAATACCGACCAATGTTGGTCGGTAATGGCCAAAAACCGACCAAAACGCAACCATTTACGTGTGGACGGTATTTTTGTGGTCGGAAAGGAATACCGATCAAAGTTGGTCGGAAATTACCGACCAACTTTGGTCGGTCAATTAAATTCAAAAAAA